TCTGGCGTTTTAGGAGGCGAAAAGAAATTCTTAACAGAGTTTCGCTTACTTTTATAGGTTGCTGGTTGTTTCCCAAGCTGGGTGTAGGATCCCTTTTTTGGCATTAAGGCGATATAAGGCGATTTCTAGTTAGGCTTAGAGGGTTGGAGACGGGAGCTCCTCGCTCATCTCAGCTGAATACAGACGAGTGACTATTTTTAAAGTTAACAGAAACTATTTGCTTAATTCAGTTTTAAGAAAATTTTAATACTGAAACACAATACATTTTTACCACACTTCCAAGAAAAAATGTGTGGGATCTAGCACAGCATTTCAATGGGTGCAAGGACTTCCACTACTGGAGCATGACTTTCCAAGCTCCCGTTCCCCCACAGCAGCTCAAATTGAGGAAAGGGGACCCCCCCCGGGGAACTGATTTTTGGGAGGCATTTGGGGCTGCCATAGGAAGAGGAAGGTGATAACCCTTGTGCTGCTTTGACAGAAGTCCTTGTGCAAGTGGAAATGCTGCACTGGATCAAACCCATTATTAGTAAAAATATTTTCAGCTGCATTCTATGGTTTTGTGTACCAGAAAACAAATGCAAAAGATGTATGGCAGGACAGCATCACTGCAGTATCAATTACATAAATATTGACTGGTGAGTATACAGCTGTACAGTAACACTTTTCCCAGGTCACCTTCCTTATGGAAGGAACCCCAGTTTCAAAGGTTAATTGTGCAGCTGTTCATATGCAAATAAAAGCAATACTCACGTCTAAAGAGTAGCCACAGAAAGAAAAGAAAGCAAGATAATAAACTAATACCTTTCCAAGAATTGTATGTATTGGTTCTTCTGGTACGCCATAAGCTGGCCCCTCCATCTTCCAATGCTTCACGGTTTTATCATCACCAACCTAACGATTTTGGAGAGGGAGAAAAATAAAATTATTTCTACAGTGCAACCAAATCCTACACACGTTTGCTTGGAAGAAAGACCCCCACTACTTTTAATGAAACAAACTATCAAATACACTTGCATTAGACTGTTTCAGGTGGGCAGTCATGTTAGTCTGTAGTAGTAAAAACACAACAGGAGTCCAATTGCGCTTCATTGACCAACCACATTTTTTGTGAATCAAAGCTCCCCATCAGATAATGTTCACTTTGTTATCTGGTTACGCAAGCTTCATCTGATGAAGCGAGTATAAAACCTTAAAATATTTTGTTAATTTTTAAGGTGCTATTGGACTCCAGTTCTGATCAGCATTAGACTGACTTCCTGAGGGCATTA